TATGGCCGGATACGGACCGGGTGTACCCGATTTTGGCCACTCCTCTATTATTTTCTACTAAATCTCGAGCCGGGGGCACATTTTGCCACAACATAGGATACAGATGATAGATGCTGACTCTATATATCGGTTTACATGGCGTGGAAACGTCCGGAAAACACTGGCATACAGCTGTACACATCACAGGCACACTTCCTTGGGAAAATGTGATGATCAAAAGAGGAAGCAGCAGAAACGCAGAAACAGTGATGCACAATACACTCCCTCTTGACAAAGCCCCTCGGCGTCGGCTGTGTGTTTCTTATATTCTTCGGGTTCAGCAACACAGGAAGCCAACTTTATTCCTGCTTCCTTCCTTCAACACACTGCGTTAGCGCATCACTGACTCGATGAAAGTCATGGCACCCACAGCAGTAACAACACTAGCCATCGGCCGAGGTGAAATATGCGATAATGTAGCAGCCAACAGCGGCTCCGACAGATGTGGAACGAGGACAATCTACGTTGATCATGCGTGGTCTGGGGTCTGGGGGTACACATTTTTCGGAGATGACGTAGATGGGGAGACGCGTCATGTCCGCCTCCATCTCAGCAGAGAGTCGCCGCCATGGTAGAGACATCAGCGCTTGCGAGGCTTCTCTGGCCGAACGCGATAAAATAAAACTCTGCAGGAAGGAGGGGTTGCCTCTTCTCCCTGTGCCCAACTTACGAGCAGCACACAACCGAGTGCGTGGTGCGTGACTCCAAAAACCCAAAACGTTACAATGTTTCACCTGTCCCAAATCACCCCGAGGTATCCAGCAGGAAAAAGGAACCCGATACATACAGCAGGACAGCAGTATTTATCGTAGGCGCCTAAATTCCAACACGTCGGAGGGGCTTTCCTTGCACACCTGCCGTCGTACATCCTAAAAAACGTCACCGGAATGATGGGGACCTCCAATGCTACTCGAGCGAGGTGGACGTCGAGCAACCGTCTCCGCCGAGCGACGCCGACACGCGAGAGAAAAAAACGCGTTGCGAAAAACCCTGCTGTCTGCCTGCTTCCTCCGTGCTTGCTGCGTGCTTTCTGCCCGTGCGCTGAGTGACCTCTTCTCCCTCACCTTTCGCGGGATCAGAATCGTGCTCTTCGTTGCGCCAACTCCAGATCTCCCCGACATCGAAGTTGAGCGTGGCGCAAACGCATCGCAGATAAGCCTGCCTCGCCGGCGAGTCAGAGGGGCGCGACACGGAGGGAAGCACGAAAAGTCGTCCGTCGGAGATTGTCATTATTCGTGGGAGAACGAACAAACGCCAGGGGCAAAACAGCGTCCGGATCGGCGACGCTGGTCTTGGTGTCGTTGATCGGCGGGATACCAGATACAGTTGCTGGCGCTGTAGGGTCGTGCTTCACGCGGCGCGCTTGCCATGTGTCAAAATGTGTGGGATTGCTCTGTATGTAACAGAACCAACAGGCCCCGCAGGCGCAGAGCGGAAAAAAAGGAGCAACGTGGTCGCATCATCGAACGAATATGACAAACTGCGCCCTTCCTTCGCACGCGCTTCACAGCCAACACGCACACGCAAGAGCCTGGCTCACTTGTCGACGTTCGCCTTCAGTGGTGCTCGTTGGATCGTTCACCATAACCGACCCCCGTCTCTCTCTCGCTCTCTCTGATACTCCACGGCGTACAACTAAGTAGCAACGAGGGAGTTTGCGTCTCCTTTCATGACCACCTTTCGGGGGGACACGCAAATGGCATCGATTAGGAGGGCGGAAACTTGCTGCGGACCACAACTACGCATGTGGCTCTTTTCTCAGTGCTGCGCGTAGACAAAAAAAAAAGGTTGACGTACGTAAGCGCCAATTCGCACCCCTCCAAGATGAAGCACGATGGCTGTAGATGTCTGCAATAGCTAGCGACGGACCCGAGTAGTATGAAATTCCATACACCACAGTGCTAGAACTCAGCAGTGAAAGACCTCAATCAAGGCGCCCAAAAAATTATCGAAAAGCATACGAGCCCTCAACGACGCGGCGGAACCTCGAGCGAGCCGACGGCACGTCCCTGGTTCCCTGGTGAAAACGAGAACGCGCTGCGTACGTTGCCAATTGACACGAAACTTGGCACGGAGGCGAACTGTTGGGTAGAGAGCAAGGTGACAAACTCTTGTAGTGATTTGTTGCGCGTAGGCGGCGGGGAGGGCAGATTTGGTTGAAAAATTGCATCCACGCGGTGGCGTCATGCTTCGTCGAGGTGTCTCAAGTCTGTTTACCTCAGGATGTCTCGCATCTTGTAGCTGCCTCCTTTGCGGATGCATAGCTATGTGCACTTTGAATTAGTTTTTTTTTTTTTTCTCCCATCATCGGATTCTGTCGTCTGCCCCCCTGGCCCCTATCCTCCACTTCTACTAGCTAGACGAGCCACCTGGGGTCACATAGGAGGGGGGGGCTGGACCTCTCCTGCGGTTCCTGCCTGAGATATTTTTATCGTGAGAAGGGTACTACAGCAATCCCTTCCCTCGCGATTTTTGAAGTCGATTATGGTTTACCAACAACGAGCTTTGCAACGCGTCGCTTTCATCCTAGACCAGGATTACTTAGTGAGAAAAAAACAAACTCTGCCGGGACTCGAACCCATGACCTGCCCCTTAGCAGGCTGCAAGGTTACCCGCTAGACCACCGGGGCAACCGGTATTTGTATAAAGCTGTATAGGTTGAGTACGCGTAATCGGCCCGCACCCTTTTGAACTGGAACCCAACTTGCTGTACGGCGGTGGTGTTGCAACGCGAAACTGCGGCACAACCAATGACTGAGAGAGCGCGTTCCTGTCTTCTCCTTCCCGATCATTATTTTTTTGTACCGCGTTCTGGTAAGGCTCGTTATTAACCCGGCAAACGGCGGACGGTGTGTGTGGGAAGTGCTGCTGTGAGTAGTCTAGAGCGTGTGCCGCGGCGGTTTTTTTATCCCTCTGTTTCGACACCAATATTTATTGACCTCGCTCTCAGACAGGGTTGATGAAAGCGAGACGTAGACTTAATATGCGTGCTTGAAATTCGACTTTTTCTTTTTCTTGGTGTGTTGGGCATCGACGCAGTCTCATGTCTTTCGCGACCACGTCATCATCGTTTTTCTGGAGTTACTCGGGGGATCGCTCCCGCGCAAGGGAGGACCCGCGGTCGTCGACCTAGGACGTGTTACATGCACCAGGCAGCAACGAAGATCTACATAAATGCCTCTAATTAATNTATTTGGTCTATTTATTTGTACTGACCGCTTCGATATCTCGAACCATGTTGTCTACTGCTGCTGCACACTGATATCTTGAACGAAACGCGTTCGTTCGGTAATGACTGATGAAGACTGCTCCTACTGTCGTCTTACAACAACTACTAGATATAGACTACTCGCAGACTAATAACTACTATGCTGGGCAGCCTTCTTTCCGTAGTCGACCGTAGTAGTCTTCCTGTGCAGAGAGAGAGTGAGAGGTGGATGTTTTGTGTCTCCCACTCACTCTTCTCGGGCCGGGTTCGCATGGACGGCAGGGGCTTTCCGTGGTAGACGTACGAACAAATAACTTCGACGTTGTTTGTTGGTGTCGACAAGGTGTCGAAGCTTCTTTTTTCCGGGCGGCGATGTTTGTGTTTTACAGGCAGCGGGGACGTTATCATGTAGTAGCGCCCGTTTGTCTTGCGTGGAGTGTCGAAACATGTGTTGCCAACTTCAGACCATGGTTGAAAGGACGAACGCAACAACAAAAAAAATATACTTAAAAGTATATGACTATCTAGAGTCTAGATACGGCGAGATATGGGGCAACATTGTGCAGTTCGCACTCAATCAAGCTATGTACCATTCATCCAACTTTGAAGTCAATCAAGGACCGGGAGTACTACACAAGGGACAGCAGAGTCACGACATCCCACAAAGAGTTATTTACCCATGTAAATCGTATCGCGTCGAGAGGAGGGTGTTTTCTTGAACGGCAATAACAAACAAGTAAGTGTTGCCCTGACCAAATCCGTCCGGGAACAAACAAACAAACGTGAACCTCAACTCACATCCCGTCTACATATGTATTATTGACGTACGCACGTTGGATATATACTGTATATATTCTTAGTTGTTTGTTTTCGCCTACACGGGGCATATTCGGGACAAAATGAACAGCGATGTACTGCTGTAGGAAAAAAAAAAACACGCATGCACGCATTCGGCACACACGAGACGGGCGGCAAACCAAACAGCAGAAAAGAGGACAAAAAAAAAGCACCTACCTACCTACAACCCGCCTTACCTAGCTAGCTAACAGGACAGATAGTTTGACAGACGACAACATCGATGAACAAAAACGAAACAACCACCGTCGGGAACGAATGAATCGGGAACCAAACCAAGCAACAACAGTCCCTGCCCCTTCTCAGCTCTTGCGACCCGTTTGTTGTGCTGTCCGAAACAACACACAGGTCTCGTTGGATCAGAGGCGCGCTTCGTCTGGTACCAAAAGTCGACCATGGGGGGAGCGAACACCCGTCTCTTTCCTTCTCACCTATCATATTGGTCCCTTGCTTCGTGCAGTTCCCTAGAGGGTGGTGGGATGGTCGCATTGCACACAAGAACCAAGCCGCGCTTTATCCTGTAACACAACAACACTGACACTAAACTCAGAATCGAAGAGGATAGGGGGCTCCGCTGCAGCGGCAACACGGACGGGGGTATTGTAGCGAAACGCCACCTCTGACTGTAGACACAGAGGATTTCCACACAGGCACACAATACTTAGGCCCTGCGATGGTGGTCAAACAAGGTGTAGGGGGTGGGGAGCGGGGATGGTGGAGTGGAGTTGTCGAGGAGTGGCAAGGCCACCGCACACCACACCTCACCACTATTAGAAAAACTCTCTCGGCAATGTCCCATACATGTTATACAACGGACGCGCGCCGGTTTTTTTCTCACGGTTCTCGTCTTCAGCCTTAGCAGTCACTCCCACATCTCGTCACACTGTGTCATCTACTTCAAAAACAACGGAAAAGCCAGTCAAGTCAGTTCGGTCTGCCGCAACCACAACAAACGCCTCCTGCTTCCTCCTCCTCCTCATCATCATCAACACCGCAACTACCACAAAAGCACACAGAACAAGACGCGACCAACAACAACAGCAGGAGCAGCATCCACCTATGACCCCGCGGGCTCGCCAACCATCCTCTAGAGAAAAATCTCCCTCGAAAAAATTTGCGGAAACTTGTGGCTGCTGTTGCTGCTGCTGCGGTTGACTGCTGCTGCTGCGGGCCTGGAGCGAATCATGGGGTCCTGCTTGTTCCCTTTGCCTCCCCCCCCCCCCCCCCCCCCCCCCCCCCCCCCCCCCCCCCCNNNCCTCTCTCTCCACACGCGACCATGCGGTGTTCCCGTCATCCAGGCACCACACGCACGCAGGGGCCGAGAGATGCGGCTGGCACGTGGTAGGTATGTATCTTCAAAGGGACAAGGGCCACAAGAGTCTCACAAGCCTCTGAGGCCGACCTAACCCCCTCCCCCCCATTCCGCCGCCCTACTGACCAGCGGAGGAAACATCGGACGACGCCTGCCCTGCTGCTGACGGCTGCTCGCTGTCACCAGCGCTAGGGAGGGAATGCTGTTACGTCTTTCTTGGACCAGACACAAAACGAGCGACATCCCACGAGTCAGGCAGGCAGGGCCGCAGCCGTACCTCCAACATAATCTAGGCGAGACTCTTCCAAAACCGTTTTCGCGGTTTTCCGAGATTAGTGAACCCCGTCGCGGGGCATCCAGGAGGGACCGGGGAGGGGGGCAGACCGCTCTTGCAGTCTACTACAGGCATACAAAACAACAAGCGAGAAACACACCGAAATCAATAACCAAAAATATCCCTATACCCGTCACCTCAAGCACCTCCCCCCCCCCCCCCNCCCCCGCCCCAAATGCGCGATACCCGCACCTCCTTCCTTATCTCCGACACCCATCTCCCCCGCGTTTAAAGACTTTCCAGCCATGGAACCACGTCGTCGAAGCAGGGCCGTTGATCTGGTTCGTGCGACCAGCACGCCTGCATAAGCTGCGACAAGGCTTGAGGACACTGCGAAGGGATGCGTGGTCGTTCTCGTCGCCCAAGCACCGCCGCAACCACCTGGAGATGGAACGCGTACGGGAGGATGGGGTGCAGCGTGAAAACAGGCGTAGGAGTCCGAGTGGCGTGCCGGGCGGCCAGCAAGGGCAGCGCGCTCGGTTGTCGTACATCGCGATTCGAAAGGTCTTAGCGCACGGCTGCATCACGAAAAACAAAACTCCGGACGCCCTCATTTGGTGCTTATGTGTTGCCGAATTGTCATCGACTGTCAGTCTAACGGGGGGTGTGAGAGTGTGGGCAACCAAAATGTCCTCGACTTCTTATTAGGGTAATTCGATACGCGCATCCCAGTCATCGCACTACAGAGCTGATCAGAGCAGACAACGTTGCCGCCCCTGACTAACGCATCTCGCGTGCGAAATCTCGCTGGGGGATGATTTGTCGTGTGGGGGAGGGGTTCAAGCGTCATCCGTGGGCGAAGCTCATCCCACGCCCCCAAACTTCCAATTCTTGTCGTAAGCCCCGAGACGCCTCATCCATCTCTCAACAGCCGAGAAGGAGGTCAGCGCTGTCACACATGTGTGTTGCAACAAAACAAGCTTGGCC